TACGTGTAACGAAAAAAAATTGTCTCCAATTTCGATATAGGTACGTGGAGATCGTTCCACCGATATCGTGTACATTAGTTTTTTAAAACAGTTCTCGCGAGGAAACGGAATCTAACCTATTTTTTTTTAAAAAACTTTTAGAATTTTTTAATTTCTTTACGATGTTAAGGAATATTTATGGTAAACGGTAATACTTATAATAATGTCCAAAATATAAAATGATCCATCCCACTTAATAATTATTCTGGATCCGCGCCTGATTAGCCTGGTATACCTCCTGAGTTTCACGTGTGATTTACGTGAGATACACGTGTCCGCGTGATAACGTTAAGGACCACGCGAACGCGATATCCGTCCGGTTCGTTTCGCGTTCGGCCACCGCACACATTATACGTTTTACATAAACGCAACAGAACGCGTCGTACGTCGTATCGTTATCGTTTCGGCGACTTTTAACGGATAAAATTACTTACAAAAAAAAAAAAATTATTTATTTAAGATATCCATGATTTAAAAATGTTAAACTTATCAATGTTCGTTTTCATCTCAATCGCTTTAGTACGATACAAAAATCGATGTAGATAAAGCTCAGAAAAACCATTAGATATTTTTTACGTGTCTATAAGTGTACAGTCAATGCGTTTCGTAAGTAATCTTCTTATTTTTTACCCCTGAGAATATTCCATATTATACGTATCGATCACAATACGTCGGGAGTGTGCTTCTAATGTTTATTTCAAGGTTAGGTTTATTTTACTAACTGCGTTGTGTTCAAACGTTTCGGTCGGTGCTAAGGTAAACGAACGTAGTTGAAAGTCGAGATTAAGAATGGAACGTGAATGCGTAGTAGCCTCGAGTGAGTTTGTTTCGGATATGTTTTGGGTACAGCGTGCGGACAGGGTCCGGGGCCGGTTTCGGATCCGATGTTTTGCATACAGCCCGCGGACGAGTTCTAAGGTCTGTGTACCGAGTGCACGGGTCGACCGAAATGCCGACGGACATTAAGTATTCGGTAATTAATTTCGTCGTAGCGGCCCGTCCACGGCGCGGCCCTCCGAATACTTTGATTATGGTCCCAGCGCTTATGCGTGCGTAGCACGAATAACGTGTGCACGCGGCGGCAGCGGTTTTTACGACGATTGTCGCGATTTTTCGATACCACTTAAACGGATTAAAAACGCACGCGCCACCGTACAAGAAACGTGCGATGACGGAGAGTGCGAACGACGGGGTACGGGTGGTTTTTATTTTCATTAGTCGACCGGTCGCGGTTGTAAAATTCTGAGCAGTCTGATCGTAAAATCGCTTTAACGGTATACGCGTTTAACACGCCCGCTGGAGAGAGAGAACGGGGTTTCGTTCGTATATGCCGCGCATCGCGTGCATTCCGTTTTTTTCTTTTCTTACAACGCTATTCAAACCGATCGCCGTTTCGGGTAGGCACTCGAAATCTGATGCGTTATCATTGAGGCAAATGTACACGTGTGGCTAGGTCCTTGAAATCCATCGGCTTTGAAATCGTCGGCTTCGTGACGGCAGTTAGCAGTGATGTTATCAACCGGAATGGTACAAAGGAAATGTTTAAACGGTCTTTTGGCTGTCGATAGCGCGTTTCGGATTATGTTCGCCCGCGTCGCGAGATCACAAATACTTATACAGATTATTTCCGTACACGTGTCCCGTCGAGAAATTCGGTAGACAGTTTTCCTCGTATAACCGATTCCGGTCGTGAGTTTTCGATCAGTACCCAAACGCGGCTATATAACCGTAAGTTACAAAGAACAGATTGAAAATTGTTCAGAATGTTTAAGACATTTCCAACAATGTTTGACAAATTTAAATTTGTGGAATTGATCTTCCGTGAAAAGGCATTTGCGATCGCGATATTATTCTGTACAATACGACAGCCGATCTAAATTATCTGGTGTCTATAGTATTATAAAAAATATTCATTAATTCGTCGACAAAATTGCAAAAGATTAAACTATTTTTTCATTATGTCGTCGTAAACATTTGCATTATATTATTCTGTAACTTGTATTGTTAATATCAAGTCGGTATTCTTTTTCTATATTATATTCTCTAGTATGGATATATTACATTAAGTTTATGTTTCGCTACAGATTGGATCTCGCCGAGAGTAAATATACAACACACTTGATATGAACGTATTTATTGGAAATTGCTGGAGGTATACCGGCACGTGTTTGTCAGATAGCTGGATCGCAGTGATTATAAGTCAAACTGGAACCCTATATAAATATACAACACTATGTATAGGTAACTGCGCAAACCCACACAGTGTGTTTATATAAACGATATATATATATATATATAGTGCAAATATTTATGGTTTTCGATCATCTCATCGTACCGACCACATCGGTTCGATTTGTGCCTGCCGGCGGCCCTAATATACAAGTAATGCGTCCACCTGAATCTCCGTGTACACTCAATACGTGTATACAAAGCAAGCACTTATCCGAGAGTCCTAAGAGTCTTATCCTAAGAGTCTGTGGGATCTAAACTCATCCTTCCGAAAATGATCGTAACCTAAATAATAATTTCACCTATAAATCGCAATCCTTTATAGTTAAAATGTAAATAAAATACGTATAAATTTCTTTTTAATCTCAAATGAATGAAAAATAATTTTTTCATTGTAATGCGTTCTATTTTTTATAGAAATAAAAGAATCTTCTATCTTAGATTTTTCCCCTTAGCGTTATTAGATACTTAGTTTTACGTTTTTTTGTTATGAAATAATGTTTTTAGTAATTTTAGTGGATCAATCGACTTGACATAGGAAATTGTGGTGTAGACATCATAGATTTTTGGACTAAAAATTAAATATTATTTATTTCATAATAAAAGATTATTTTTTATTTTTTTTATTGTACAATGTTATATATGGTTAATAGACATAAAATATTTACATATGAAGATTGTTTTTATTGTTATATAATGAATAATGTTAATTTAATTTAATAAATATTTTTCCAAACTATTATCGATTGTTTATTTCTTTCATAATGTATTAGTTTTATCCGTTATGAAGTTACAAATGTCGTTTCGAAACCATGAATTTCGAAATATCTACTATTGTATTCGAGTTACTGAGGATATCGAGTGAATAAATATAACCTCTGTATTGTATTCTCGTGTCGCTTCTCCTAAGCCGGAGTGATAATGTTATATCATAATATTATAATAAAAAACTGAAACAATGTAATATCGTGTTATTATAAAATTTGCACTGTTCTGAAAATGTTTGCGGGTTTCGTTGTTTTCGCACCGCGACCAACTATACCGCCGAACCGTAACACATAAAGTTCGATTAGTTAAACAAAAATAAAAATTGTTTATATATACATAATTGTATATAAAAATGTATTCAATGTTAGATATCCACAACGATGATATTGATAAAGGAGTTGCAAAAGTAATAACGTTGCATAGTGGAACACATGCATGCGCAAAAAAAAAAAAAAATGTATAAATGCGTACTTTTCCAGCGAATCATTCTTTTAAATATTTATATATATTTACGCGTATATATATATATATAGACTTTAATATGAACACGTTAGCATAATTTATAATACAAAACTTTCTCTTCGCAACTTAGGTAATATGTCTGGAAAACAAGTTTTAAATGTACTGCTCAGGAATACCTAAGCACGATCTCTGTTCCGAGTTCCGTTCGATTTATGAGTTACATTTCACGAAAAATGATGTTCAAATTTCCATTTGAAAAGGAATGTAATGATTATAAAAATGAAACGCAATAAATATACCCACAGGTTTTTTTTTTTTGTTAAGATTCGTATACTGGCGTTCAAATGTTCGTGTTAACACATCTCAAACCGCGACTAATGAACATCGATAAAATTACAAAAATTAACAATGGTATTTTAAGATTTAAATAAAAATCTTTTATTTTTCGAATTTATATTTATATATGTATAAGACGTGTAATGTAGTGTCAACTGCAATAACTGTGTAAACAATTAATTTTCCGGTAGTCACTTGTATAAACATTATTTAATTTATTCATATTTTAAAATGTCGTTAGTCTTAATTACATTTTTATGATAATTTCGCTTGTATAAAATGTATTTCGTTCAATTTTTCACGATTAAATATTAATAAAAATAAATAAAATATAACGCATTTCATATATGAGATATCACGTAAAATAATTATTGATTATGGTATCAGATAGATTTTTACCGGAAATAAAACTGTTGTTAATTAATATAATTATTAAAAAATGTATACTAATTACATTTCACTTAAACATTGATAATGATCGTGACTCTTCTACGGTTTTAATGTATTTCATTGCGGTCGTTATAAGTGGAATAATATATTACAAACCTCCGACGCGTATTCTATTCCAGTCTTGCGCGAAACGCGTTTAAAATTTAAACCTTCGTTGACCTAATTGTCGAGATGAAATTCGTTTAAAATTCAATTGACGATTATATTTGTATAGCATCCCGCGACACGAACGGCGCTGTACGGTCAATTGTTTCGCGCAGCTTAAATGCAAATTCGATTAAACTCGATAACCATATACTCGGTAATACAGATACACTATCGTTGTACAATTCTGCTTCCCAAGTCGTTTCTAACGAGTGTGTTTCACAAATTAAACCCATCGTTAATTATTAATTTTTTTTTTCTATTTAATTTTTTTATGGGAGCTTTGGCAACTGGGACCATTAGCTTGGTGCGTGTAATGATAGAAATAACAGTAGGTAGGGTAAACTCGTTTCGAAACGATTACGTCGAAACAAGTATTCGGAACATTTGGTTTTAAGGGAGGGGGAGTGGTTGTTTCTTCGCCGAGGACGGTGGTCCTCTCGATCCACTCTCAGCCACACACTACCACCGAGCGGAGTCATCATCGCGTTCTACTCGCGGGAAACAACCGTGTCGAGTCCGACATTGCATCGCGATGTTAAAGAAAATAATAACGATAAAAATGGTCTTACCTGTTTGCGTGCTGGAATCGAACAGTGTGCTGCTCGTCTCCACGGCCATGGTGGCCAACGTGCCGTCTATGATTTGGGTACTGGAATCTCGACGGCCTCTCGTGCGGTAACATTCGTCCGACTGGGAAGACAGCCGGCGGAAGTTCCTGCACCGTATCATTTCTTCGGTGGTTGACTGAAAAACAAACGATAAACACGTTTAATTATCAATTATTTGTTTCAAATGCAGGGTAATAACACCCTGACATGGTGTAATGAGTAACTTTCGATCGGTTTTTGTTCGCCTAATTAATCACGACGAAAACGTAATGCTAATCATTGGAAACGTACAAAAATGAAAAATGTATATATACTTGAAAAGTATTATGACACGGAGATCAAAGGGCACACGTTTGGTTTTACTCCTTGCTATCGTGTTCTATAAAACAATTTTATCCCACAAACAATAAATAATTGGTTTCGAAGTATGACATTGAGCCGAGCGGGTTGTTTGAATTCAATGCACATTTTCTAAAACACAATATTGTACTCGAAAACGTTGACATTTCTTTCTAAATTATTTCAATAGTATATCATATTATTATTATTATTACCCTAAAAGTAATCTGTGCCCAATTTTCAATCAATTATATTAAAAAAAAAAAATGATCATTAACATAGAAAATGAATAAACAGTCGATAAAATTGAACGAAGCGAAACATAGAGAAAAATTAAATATGTAAAAAAAATTAAACCACAATTTTTAATGTCAAAGTGTTAAAACGCAACGAGTATAAATAATTCAATTCTCATACAATGCACTAACGATAGATCGGATGAAACGAGTGGTAATTGATATCATAGGGAACGTAAAACGTAGACGGCTTGCAAACGGATCTAAGGGTAAGAGTTTTCAGCTTATAGTATATTATGTATTATATCGGTCGTATAATCCTGTTAAAAATATTTAAGGATAATAGAAAGAGAGAGAAATGGGTAAATAAAACTTTTGTATAACGTTTCGCATGTTGGGTTAATTCGACCCCCTCATCAAAATACGAGAGCAACAGAATCTCAAAACATCATTACAGGTGTTCTCGCAATATCTCCACTTACTTGTCTCCGGAAGCCTCTGGCGATCAATATCTCTTCGGTGGTGGATTGTCTTCGGATGATCGGCGTGCGATGAGAGGTCGCGGGCGCCACAGCCCTTCCGGCCGGCGACGGTTCGCGGGATGAGCACGACGACGACGACTCGGGCGATCTGGACGATTGGCAGCTACGCACGTTGTAGCCACCCATCGTGGTACTCTGGCGTCTGTAATTCCGACGGCGCCTTTGCCTGCCCGGCGAAACGTCACGGCCCTGTCTATCCGGCGATAGACCGCTCTGCAGGGACGTATAACGACGATTAAACTCGATCAATTTATAAACGTGTCAGTTTCACGTGGTGAACGGAAAACGGTATAATGTGTGCGCGCCCTGAATACGATTGGAAATGCGGTCGGAAAAAAAAAAGAAAGGGGTGTCTTCTATTCGAGTATCGTATAAAAAATTGAAAGCACTTGTTACGTCGAAAGTAAAAGAAATAGTAATTTTTATTATTATTATTATTTTTTTTTTTGATTTAACGTAAATGTAATAAATGTAAGAATCAATAAACGAACAATACATTGTTCATTTGGAAAATATAATCCGTTTGTGCGCGGTGATAGGTGTAAGCAAACATTATTATGACAGTATTTAAACTGATCGAACGTATTACATGGTATGTTTTTAGTTTGTTGATCGCCCTGCAGAACTCAGAGAGTCGCTCTGACCATGTACCGCACATCTAAAGAGTGACGGGGAAATGGGACCTTCGACACAATTGTATATAGAGAGGCACGAGCCCTGGATTATATTTCGATGATCGTGCTGTATTTGAATCGTTTTTCGAACATAGATGGTTAGATGGCAGGTTAGGATCGACCATTCTAGATCGCCAAATCTTCGAACGCGTGACTTCGGGTTACCATCACTATCCCGCGGACATGCAGATGAACAAACGTTGTCACGGTACTCACGCTGACCCTGGAGTCCCTGCGCCGAGCGTAGTGCGCCGAGTCGGGCGACAACGAGTCGCGTCGCGTCTTGCGGTCCGAGAAGTCTTGGTCCGCGGACAGCGTGGGCTGCGAGCTCCTTCGGCCGAACAGGCTGGATGGCATGCAGCTCTCGTCGATGGCCGTCGATTGTCGTTGCAGCCTCGCTAGTTTGTTGGCCACTGAGATACCGTCCTTGCTATGCCTCCGCTCGGGTGACGCGTGCGACTTGGAATTGCGACGAGCTCTCGATGAGTATACCTTTGAAGCAGTATTCACCACAAACAATGATTAGTAACAATAATAACGCACTCGAATAATACGTAATATTTAACAGTAGTGATCGAAGTCACGAGCGTTCATACCTTCCACCGTACATCCGTTTTCCGGTTCAACCATAACCGGAATGGAAAAACATCTACGGATCATGATACGATCCAGAGTAGTTCAACGTCAATTTTTTTTTTTTGAATTAGGAACGATGCAGGAACTATTACTTTTGTAGTTCTATTTTCGAATAGCGCTTAACATTCACGTGTTTCGTTGAGACCGTCCAGGAAATACGCGAATTCATACGAAACTGGTTTATTCTTTTGCAAAAAAACATTACGCGCTTCGTTTTGGGGGGATTGTTTTTATAAATTTATAAATAATCACTTTCCTCCTCTTCATATCACAAATAATACGACTCATTTGAAATTTGTTATTTGCTCAGAAATTTACTATAAGTTAGCGCATGAGCTGCTTAAACCAGCAAAACTTTACGCCCGCAGTATACATTGAAGTATCTTGGGTGATGGTTTGGTCGTAATAATAAATCTGCCATATTTACATAATAAATAGTTCGAGGTCATAAATTATACACCCAAACAATCTACCTACGGCTACGGATATACGACATCTTATGCTGTAAAAGGGTACCCAAATATAAACATTCGACTTGTGTGCATGATATTATATTTTATCATAAAATTATGCGCCGAACGGATAATTTTCGATTCCGGAACACACGGCGCTGGTTTTATAGTGTTGAGTACACGACCGTTTTCAAAATCTACCTATATATAACGTAAATGTTGTAATGACGTACTTTCTTATTGGTGTTGTGGTTTTCACCGTTAATGTGGTTAAAGTAAAACAAATAGGTACACAGAGTCTGAAAATAAAAAAGAACGATTTCGGCGAACTTCAAGAAAAATGTAATACAAAGCTTTTTCGTCCAGTATTATCGAGCGTTCTCCGAATCAATCTGTCAAATTGACAAAATTCATGAAACATGATGTTCAGGGAAACAAACTTTTAGATTGTTTGTTCTATTCACTGTGATCACTCGACCCTCCGTTGACGTACTATAAGGAAAGACTTCATAATATTATAAATATTAGGAGCGATATAATATTCGGGATTGAAGTAAATTTCGTATAAAAATCGATGTACTGAAAATGAACGAGAAAGTTAAGACGGATATAGGCATGGGGCTTAAATGGGATTAAAGTGGAGGAGGGTGTAAAGAGATATCCCTTCCGTTTACAGAGTTTAAAAAATGACCTATTTTACATTTTTTCAAAATGTTTGATGGAACATTCAGATTTTTGATTTTAATAATCTACCGCATTAAAATTTTCTATTTTTTTATAAATGTAAAATGTGTTATGTTATGTTCTATAATTACCAAATATTACTGCTCGTCAGCGACCTACAGCAGGTAATGATTTCGATTTAAAATTTTTTTACAAAAAACTACTAACTCATGTTAAATATTTATTGTGTTTCAACATAAAACAAACGTCTAAAGGTGCATGAAACCGGAATAGAAACTTTGTTATCGTAGTTGAAATATGATTTTTAACACGGCGCATTGAATAGGCAATTTTTTAGCAGCAGTGTAGCAAGTATTATAATATTGACATGGACATAATTCAAAATAATATTATAATTATATTATATACCTACGACGTTAACGATTTTACGAAAATATATACTTTGATACATAATTTATATTTATCGTTTTTCATGCAGATCGTTGACCAACTTATAAGAGACGACGTGTCCGGAATTTTTTCTTCTCCTTCAGGTCGAAGAAATCAGTAATCGTATGAGGTAGGTAACATCATGTGATAAACATATTTAACAAAAAAAAAAAAATACCGTTCGGTGCACACAAGAATCTACCCCGTTATTGCCGCAACGAGTAACGGTGTTTTGCATAAACGTATCGGAAGTTAAACTTTGTTTAATCTATTAATCTTGAGCTACTTTTTTTTTGTATATAAATTAAAACGTGACCGTTATCACCTCTTCCGCTCAAATTGTATGTTCTCTTACATTTACATTTCCGTTTTGGATAAAATCTTATGAATTGAAAATGTGAACAACAACTAGGAAGATCGATTAACCTTATCGAGTCGTTCGTGGTTTTCGGTGTATACGTTTTATTTATTTTTTCTACTCATCTGCAGAACACTACGTTTAATGGCGCTTATGATGGTTCAATGAATAATCGCACGGGATAGAAAAAACGTGTTCCATTAGAATATTGAAGGGGGCAGAGTCGTGGAACGCGGTACGCGATACAGTCCCGTTTCAACCGAGTCGTACCTCTCGACACGACCGTTCACTTTAACCGTGGTCGGCTTTGGTGAACCGAATCGCGATCGCACAACTAATGTGGTTTTCACGAAAGTAAAGAATTAATAGAAATCAGTTTTTATCCTATCGCGGTACGAGGTCCCGTGGAACACCGTTGAGTCGGGCGAAACAAGATTGGATTTATGTGTGAAGCGCTGAGAAACAAAAAAAAAAAAAAAAAACCGTAAATAAACCGTACCGGAAGGAAAACCCGGTCGGAA